ATCGCGGCCAACGATGGCTTCGCGTTCGCGTTGGAGAGCTTCGTGGAGCTCATGAATCACGCGATCATATCGTGGTATGACTTTCCAGGGATTCACTTCTTGAGATAAAGTTTGTTTCCATTGATCATTTCATTGGTTCCCGTAATCTTAGGGACAACTTGGAGCCCAAATTTATCGGCAAAATCGCACTTCAAGTGAACTCATCGAACCTGTCGTCCGCTGACAAGAAAGAGCTGATCCACTCGTTGGCTATCTTGGAGTCGATAGTGATATCGTCGACAAAGTTCAATGTGTTGGTCGAGGCGGAGGTGACGCTACCGAACCTCATATATCTTGTGTCCCAAAACCAACACAATCAGGAGATCCAGCAAAACTCGATCGCATTAATCAACGCATTGTTCTCGAAGTCGGATCTCTCGAAGCGTAAGGCAATGGCTGCCACTCTGTCCTCCAAACACATCCGAAACGTTATACTCACTAATGTGTTGAATCCGAGGGTCAGTGTCGGCACCGACTCGTCCGGACAGACGTATAACGTGGGCTCAGAAATGGCGCATCAGTTGTATGTCTTGCAGACACTGCTCTTCAATCTACACGAAGAGCGCATGAATTCTGTGGTCAACACATCCAACGAAAACGAACTCAAAGACCGTATTCTGGAGTTACGAAAGACGGCCTTCGATTCGGACATCGGAGGCGTCGAACGGAACCAGTCGTCTAAGAGTCTGGTCTCGTCTTCGCTGATCTCATCCACAAAAGGCGACGCCTTTCAAGAAGACTACAAACGTCTGGGCTTTACGAACAGCAAAGACCCGGTGCAGGACTTCACGGAATCGCCGGGTATTCTAGCGTTGGATCTATTGGTGTATTTGGCGCGCAATCACACCGAGACGTACGTGAAGTTCGTTCTGGAGAACTGTTCCCGCAGTGATCGCGAGCACGAGTGCCCACTCGTCAAGAGTACCATTCACTTGACCCGACTCTTGTGCGAGACCCTGAAGGTGAGCGAAGCGCCCAGCGATGAGGGAAAGACATTCTACCCGATGTTCTTCACGCACGACCACCCGCTCGAGGAGTTCTATTGTATCGCCGTTTCCCTCCTCAACAAGACGTGGAAAGAGATGAGAGCGACGGTCGAGGACTTCGTGAAAGTGTTTTCAGTGTTGAGGCAACAGTTGACGCGCGCGATGGCCGACCCCGAGTCGACCGTCACTTTCGACAAATTGCGGCTCAAGTTGGCGTCGCTCTCCTATTCGGTGATCACATCGTTGTGGCAAAAGGAGAGGAGTAGTCGCGAGGAGTGGGAGAACAAGGCGTGCGCTATACTCGAGCTCCGGGATATGGTTAAGCCGGAGATCATTGAGCTGATCAAAGAGCAGAGGTTGACATTCCTGACGGACGGCACCCGTTTCGACAAGTATTCAAACAAAGGTCTGCTGTGCGAGACATTCGCGCCGTTGTCTGAAACGCTAACTCTCTTGCGTCCCACCAATAGGTCAGCGCATAAAAGACAAGTTCTGGTACTGCCGGCTGTCCACAAACCAGAAGTTCCTGTGCTATGGCGACTGCGACGAGAATAAAGCGCTTTCCGTGGATGAGTTGACGCACAAGTTCGCCATCATCGACATCAAACAACTGGTGATCGGCAAAGACTGTCCCCATATGCGCGACATTAAGAGCAAGAAGTCTACGTTTTCATTGGCCTTTTCGCTGATCCCGGACGCGGAACAGGAGTCTCCCCTCAACTTCGTGGCACAGAATGAGAAAGTGTTTGACTATTGGATTGACGGCATAAACGCGCTGTTGGGTCAGGAAATGGTGAGCAAAGAGACGAACAATGATTTGGAGACATTGCTGTCGATGGACATCAAAAT